CCAGCTCTTTGGGAGCACGCTCACAAGAGAGCAGCCCCCCCGGCAACCCCAAGACAATACCCCCCCCCCAGAAAAAAAGGCCTAAGCCATATTTTGGGGGTCAAAAGAAAATAAGACCCTGCCTTATTTTTGGGGAAACACTGTATCAATTGTGTATAAATAGAATTGTTTTTTTAAAATTTCCAATAGCATCTCCTCTCCACAAAAAAAACAAGTGACAATTAAACAAGCTGACCTTTTCAGTAATTGTACTGTCTGCCACAAAATGAGTACCCAACATATATTGCATGTTCTTCTTAAAGTGGTCAGTTGCTTGATGTTTTTGATATTCCTCTGGAAAAAATAATACAATAATAAGAAAACATGTAGATAAAACTCAGGAGGAAATAAATTCATATTTGTCTTTAGGGAGTTAGTACTGGAATTGTAAGCCTGATTCATCCTGCTTGCCTCATGTTTTAATTTGATTTCTTGCAGCCACTATTTTGGAGGTGTCAAATTGCATCAAGGTATAAGTGAATTTTCACATGTAGTAAATGAGATAATAAAGCAAAAAAAAAAAAAAGCTTTTTTCTTAAGGGAGTTTGTTCACATGACAAAAACAGTGGAAGGTTTTAGACTTATCTCATTTTTGAGACAACAGAAAATATGACCATAGAATAATCATCAATGCATTTTATTATTGTCTTCAGTTACAGAGAAAACCTGTGTACTGCATAAGATTTCAAGGAGTTTTGTATGCAATAGTCTGTAATCTGGTTGTCTTTAAGTAAGCACAAATATAAATCACAAAATATAGCTCTGTTGGCTGAGGAACACAAGAGCTATAATCAAAAACATGACCTCCAAGTTGTGGGTTAACTCCAAAACATGCTTTCAGTTTATGTGGAATGTAGGTCAAACTTTGGGGGTTTCTTGTTGCATTAAATGAATAAAGAATGCATTTTGGAGCACGGTCAAATCTATTGTGGTACATTTGTGGGAGAGCTGAAAATAATTGAATCAGCAAATGGAGTGATAGGATATAAGCATGAGAACATCAGCAACTGCTTAGGGAATAACAGGAAGAGAAGGAACTGGAAGTTTGGAGGGCAGGAAGTTTGGTACTATGTCCCACACTTGGGCACTGGTACTGCTGAAAGGAAGAAGAAATAAAATGCAAAGACTGGGCATGGGCAGATGAATAGACTATATCACACTGGAGTATCCTGAAAGGAGAAGAGAGGGAAGCATCTTCACTGACCCTGCCACTTTCTCATTCTCTTCTCTCTTGCCTCTATCTACACCATGTTCAATTACTTCTGTCTGGAATAGATCTATTTTGTACACATACAAGTTTTGTACACAAACACATACAAGTTTCAGCTTGGGCACAGACCGCACCACCCCAATTCTGAGTACATATACATTATAAAAAGATAAGATGAAAATATCATCACCACCACCATCAAGCTATGACATGCAGGGGCTCTGCCTTTAGAACACATTTTTTTCAACACAATAATACATGATTTTATTATTTATTTTTAATCACTTGGGAGGAAGCATATATTGTCATTTTTTCATGCATGTATATTGATTGAAATTATAAGTTATCTTGAATGGGATATGAAAGGAGATACATAAAGTAGGTAAAAATATAGTTACGCTAACAGGAAAAAATAAAAATGTTATGCTACAACTCTCATGCATGTCACTCAAGGCTGTGCATAAGATTGGATACAAAGATTTTAAACTGACATCAGTTGGGTAAAGATGCTTCTGTTTTGCTTAAATATAGAATGGAAATTTCCATGAAAGTTTCATGCAAAGTTATGCATTTATTGTTTGACTGCAAAATGCAGGTACAGCTCAAAAATTTGCACTAGTTAGGCACAACCTAAGTATGATACCGAATAGCAATAGCACTTAGGACACAATGCTTTTACAGCCTTCTCTAAGTGGTTTACAGAGTCAGCACATTGCCCCCAACAATCTAGGTCCTCATTTTACCGACCTCGGAAGGCTGAATCAACCAATAAATTCGTTGAGAGTCGTCTATTTGGTCGTCATTCTCCATCTTCCACCTACTCACCTAATGCAGATTTGACAATTCTTCCTTTGATTGTGGCTTTGTCTCTTTTGGACCTTGAACTCTTCTTTTTCTTCTTTTTCAACCCATTACTGGGTCGGGCGGCGGTCCCTGGTCTTTGAGAGGCGGAGTCGGACACTGTTTATCAGACAGAGAAACGAGAGGGATGATTTAGCCTAAAGAGCTCTCCCTTTTTCTCCCTTGGCCACCCTGCAGCCCTCGGTTACCTCCCGCCGTTTCCAGCAGCTCCAGACCCTTTCTTAGCAGGGAAGCGGACATTTCGTTCTCTATCCAGACACGTGAATTATCTTGGACTTCCTTTCCGTTTCAGCTCTATGGTCTTTTCATGATTATGCTACTTCCGAGTGCAGTTTTTCTTTTTGCCACTCTTCCTTCGACTCACTTTGCTTTACCTAAAGTCGCCACACTTCCGGTGTCTTTCATCCCGAGTGGACTAGTTATGCAGGGGTTGCGAAGCTTGGCAGCCTAAGACTTGTGGACTTCAACTCTGGCTGGAGAATTCTGGGAGTTGAAGTCCACAAATCTTAAAGTTGCCAAGTTTGAAAACCTCTGGGTTAGTTCCTACAGCGGTTTTGAAAAAGGAAGAAGAAAACGATGTAATTGTAAGACGACAAAGGAAGGAGAAATTGTATCTTATTTCGGAAGCTAGCAATGTGTTCCGATCTTTCATTCTGATCTACAAATTGTGTTGCTTCGCTTCTAAGTAACGTAAGATAACTGCTAGCAAACAATAACTGTTATAAAGTATAAAATATCCTAATAATAAATATTTAATAGGTTATTAGAATGTATCGCTTTAAACATATGCACTTTGAAAGCAAAAATATTAGGAGACCAGGACCTGAACTGCAGTATAATCTGAATTTATAGTGTCAGATGCTATAGAATTAAATGGGATTTACTAGAAACAACTGAGGGCAGGTACTTGGAATTCAACTCTATTGAACATAAAGGATTTTGTTCCGAACAGTGTTACACTTTCAGGGGTAATTTTTAAAAAATCCATTAACATATGAAAGACCGTTAAAGATCAGTTTTGCCATTCATTAAACGTATTCCTGAAATGAAGTTTGTTTAAGATAAGAGATGGGTTATAAAGATCATTTCATTTTAAAGATGGTGAATTCTTTGAGAAAGTTACTAAAATTGTTGCTTGCTGTGATGAAGAGGAAAATTATTTTATATATTTATTATTTTTCTTTTCAACACCCATTTTGTTCTTTTAGGTTGTATTTTTTACTGTTGTAATCTTTAATAAAAAATACTACAAAAAATGAAGTATAAAGGCAATTTGGCGCCGATTCATATTATATTTCACATTACAGACAGAGTCCTTTTTTCTATTCCTGGTAGACTTCAATTATCCTCTCATTCTTATTGTCACTCTTGATTCCTCATACCACATGAAATTAATCAAGATATAAGATAGATATATCATGGCAAAAAAATATTTATTTATTTGGAATTTATATATCTGACCAAGTTGAATAACTGCAATTCTAGATAGTATACAGTCAATAACAATGAAATAAACAGCAAAGAAGTCATATGGTTAAAAATAGCAACAGAAATTGGTAAGAAACCTGGAACACCAAATTTACCTTATATCCTCCAGGTGAGAATGCTAATCAATTTGGCCTCAGTGCCCAAGGAAAAATACATTTTTTATTGTTTTTCTGAAGGCTAACATATATTGCTTAAAGGGGAGGCCGGTCTAAGGGCTAGGCCAGTGTTTCTCAACCTTGGGGACTTTAAGTCCTATGGACTTCAACTCCCAGAATTTCCCAGCCAGTTGTGCTGGCTGGGGAATTCTGGGAGTTGAAGTCCACAGGACTTAAAGTCCCCAAGGTTGAGAAACACTGGGCTAGGCAGTATCTAGTGCAGGGGTAGTCAACCTTTTTATACCTACCGCCCACTTTTGTATTTCTGTTAGTAGTAAAATTTTCTAACTGCCCACCGGTTCCACAGTAATGGTNCCTGGCCAGCCACTGGTGGGTTTACCTGTGCAACCCATGCTGTATCATTTTCATGCTACAATGTAAGTTGAACAAAATCTTTTCTACAAATGGATCAAAATATAAAAAATGCAGATTAACAGGACCATTTTGTATAACCTTATCCAATATTTAATGTCAAAGTTAGAAATTCAGTTTGATTTATAGTACAGGCTGAACTTAAAGAGTTATTTTGATCCACAAGCAAATTCATTCTAACCACAGTAAACTTTAATAAATTTGTGAGCAACATAAATTAACTACCATTTAAGCAATTTTGTATTTGTTAAATGAAATGTATAAATGATTGGTACCAATAAATTGGAGATTGTTTTAAGTCTTTCAAACGATTCAGACTTCCTCCTACAGCTGTCTTAACAAGTAGCTTCACTACATAGTAATCACTAAATGCTAAAGCTAATTGTAGATATAAGTAATTGTGCAATTAAATAAAAAGCTATAAAAAATTAAATAAAAAGCTAACTGTAGATAACATTTGTTAAATATTAAAATATCCAAATAAAGTTCCTTTACAGTGTATTAAGCAGCAACTGAGAAACAGCGCCTCCTGGCCTGTTTTTCAGATGTTTGAGGCTGGGGCTATTTTGTTCCAAACATGAACTGAAATTGATTCTAGCAAAGCTGATTTAGGTGGTGTGGGTGGGTGGAGGGGGGGCAAAGGTATTGGCAGTATTTAGGGGAAAAGAGAGACTTCCTATGAATCATTGCTTGTGGCTAATGGTTAAAATATACCAGCATCTTTCATGCACATGCTCAGCTACAAACTAATAACTGTAGCCTAGCATGATAGAATAATTTAACTATCTGGACAATTTAGGATTGTACATTAGGGAAACCTATACAAATTGGTTAATTTTACCACAAAAATGCATATTCAGTTAGTACAATGTGAAAACGTTTTTCTCCTTCCCACAAAATAGAATAATTTCAGCCACCCAGTGTCACTGTGTTGGGAAGCTTTGTAATTTTTTAAAATAAATATTTGCTTTATATGATTTGAAAATTAGAAAAGTTTATTCCACAATTATTCTCTTTTGAAAAGAATAAATAGGAGAAAACATTATTAAAGCTTTTTTCAGGATTATAACTTCAAGTATTAGTATGTTTGCTCAACATACTAACGTGGTTAACAGTAACCTTGTCAACTACTTAATGTATATAGTTGCCTCGATTCATCCAGTACACTGAACTACAAATTAACTAAACTGGTTGGGTTTTGCAAGACAAATGCCACTGTGTAGCCAACTCCATGTAAATCTGTAGTATTGTGCACTTTCAGTCAGAAATATTTTCAAACATGATTTTATTCTGAGTTATGATTTTGGGCTGGTCACTCTCGTAGCCCAGACTACTATTGTGGGGAAAAACAGAAGGAGGAAGGTGTGGATATGTTCACCATCTTGAATTATTTGTAAAAATATTAAAGGTGTGATGCAAAAAACTTTGATAACCACATCCTATAGTGAAAAAGAATTACAATGGATGATACATATAATAATTAGCTTAATGCTAGTAGGTTTAGGTTTATTAGATTTATATGCCGCACTTCTCCCAAGGACTCAGGGCGGTATACAACATTAAAAGAAACACATAATACAAAAGTTTT